TAGTGTCAACAGTCCCTAATGTGCATAAAAAAATAATAGAGACTCATTTGTACAAAGGTCATATTACACTGATTTCTATGTTTTGCATAGGTACACTATTTTATAACATGTTTATCAAGCTAACAGCATGGCAAAGACTTTTTCTCTGGCACCAACATCAGGTCACATTTGTCCTGATATTACCAAATATTTGCAAAAATGATCCCTCAGCTATATTTTTTGATTAGCTAGCATGCTAGCACGGTAAACTAAGATGGTAGCAAAGAAAAACACTACATGTTCAACTTTAGCATTGTCATTTTTGAGCATATTAGCATGCTAACATTAGCATTTAGCTCAAAGCAACACTGTGCCAAAGTACAGCTTCCCAGAGCTGCTAGCATGGATAGACTCTTAGTCTTGTTCACTTTTTTCTTTTTACTTCTAGTACATATATGCAGCTGCCCTTAAACATGATGTACTGTTGAATGTGGTATGCATTTGATAGGGACATAATACGTTATCATAACATTGCACATTGAACTTTGACCCTCTTGCTCATATATTGATGCTGCGCAAAGGTCAAAATAGCAAAGAATAGTATACTTGCTTGCATACTGCAAACTGTGACCAGATGCAGTAGGACATTCTGGTATTTTTGGCGTACTTGACATACTATGTATTGGAACATACTAAATCTTTTTTCTGGCATACTAAATAGTACGTATGTGTACTGGAAGGCACAGGCAGTTATTTTTTGTACAAGAGAAGATTTAAGCTTATTAGGGAAATTGTTGGACAGTCAGTCCAACTGACTAAACTCAGGTTTAGGGGGGTTCAACTCTTCCATGCAAAAGAAAGCTTAGTACGGATTAACTTCTGTACAATAAACACACATGTTCAACATGCCATGTTACCTTCGTTAATAAGCTCTTTGCAGTTTCAGTTGTTGAATGAGCTTTATTTTAAGCCTGTTCATGCGACACTTTTGAGGCAACAAGGTTTTGAAATTGCCTCGATTTTCCACTGACTTTGTCATTGACTGGAAGTCAGGCATAACATTAACAAATCTGCATACAGCGTCACCCACTTTAGCATTTAGGCTCAGTTAAATCTGGTAAATTGGAAGGTAGAACTGACAAACAACAGCATTTCCTTATCACAACAGGGACTTAACGTTCAGTCCGGTCTTCTTGTGCTTGTGCCTACACGACAAAGGCCCAGCAGGCTTAGATATTTATTAGACCGATAATTGAACAGACTAGCAAGGCTATTATTGCTGCTAATGGTTCCAGAGCCGTGTCACATCTCTTAAATCACACAGGAGTTGACAGTTGGGTTAGGTAGCCACCTCCGAACACCTTTACGTTCATTATTAGAAGATGACTCAGAAATGCCTAAAATGGAATGTCTGAAGAATTTCTAATGGTGAAAAATGATGCTCTTATCAGTGATGCTCAGTGGGTTAGTCACGCTACTGAAAGGACACAGCGGAGGGATTCAGCCACTTAAGAAGTTTTCAAATAGATTCAAAGGTGGAACAAAAAAGGAGAACTTTTAAATGGACGTCTATTTTCGTTTAGTGGTAGCAGATAACTCTTAACTGTAGGCAAAAGTTGAATCACTTTATCTTGAGTACAAGTCTGATGTTGCCTTCTGGGTAACACTTTACTTCAACTGCCCCAATTTAATTATATTTACTAAATTGTTAATGACCAACTGTAATGTCGTTGTAAACAGACATAAAGACAATTGTTTAATGTATTTGTTTAGTACATTAATACAATTTACTTTGTCTTGTGAAGCATCCTGCCTGGCGGGAGGTGTTGTAGTTGTTGAAAGTAAAATGAATAAACTACAAAATTAGCTCGTCTCAGTTAACAACTACACTATAGTGTGCCAAACCATTCCTTGTTTGTAGCCTTCTTAATGGGTTGACTACAGTAAACATAGAAATGAAGTAACAAATTAGGCAAATGCACCAAAGCAGGGACAGCTGAGATGAGAGCACCGCTGTCTCCATCTGCTGTAGGACAGTAAGTAGTGCAGTTTTCTACAGGTGAATTTAAACAGACACTCTAATAGTATCTACTTCCAACATGACAAAATAAGATGTCCAGTCTTTAAAAACATCTATGTGACACTGTGAGACAATGTGTACTCAGGCTATGGTACGCAGAGTGCTAGTATGATTTCATTTTCAAGTCACAGAGATGGAATACAAAGTGGGGATCTGAATACATAAGTTGTCTAATTTTCAGTCTCATAGTCCAGATTCATACTTTAACCAGGATTAGCTTTAAATAATTAGGACAATGCAAATAGGAAGTCATTCACGGGACAGACAATCCTCTAATTTTCTGAAGCCTGCATGTGGAAGGTTAAAATAACCGTGGACATAATTTTTGTCGTAAAAAAAGTCCAACATTTAAGATATGGCCACAATATTTGTTTAAAATATGATCAACAGCTCTGCTTTGTAAAAGTTGGTGTGACATATTAACATTGATAAGATTAGGCAATGCATCACATGCTTGCTTTTATGTTCAAGCACCAAGCTCATCAGATATTATGGAGATATCATATCCGAGTGCCTTGTTAGATGTTGTGCCTTGTAATTATGACTCTAAATTTGACATCGTCATTATTACTTTTGATCAAAAGCTATATGATATTCCATATAATACATTGTTTTTACAAAAATACAGTACAATAAAGGCAATACTGACTGTTTGCATGTGTATACTAAATGAGATCGACTGTATACATGTATGCACCAACTTAATTCCTAAACTTTGATTCATTTCTTTAGCTTTTTCAAGGTCTGTGTTATCCACGCTGGGGAATTCAGTGCCTCGTTATCACAGTCGGCTGCAATTCAAACCATCCAGATAACAAGTCAGCTTCAGTGTTTTGAATGCAGGTGAAAATAATCCCACGATTTAAAGAATCCACTCGCTTTTTTTCCTCAGACCTCAAAGCTGCATTTACATTAGATAACAGCGATTGCTACAAAGCATGCCTCCTCACTTTTGTGTTACTTCATCCGATTATAAAATACACCTTTTAGCATTGTCTTGTTTTATTTGTTAGCAAGTCTTGTATCATGTCTTTTTAAAACCAACTGCAAAATAGCTTCAATTGTAGAACTAATAAAGCATTCCGTTGGCTAAGAGAGGATTGTTGAACGGTATTCATAAAGAGATAGACCTGAAGTATGTGTTACATGAAAGTATTTCTTCCAATCCAGAGCCTCTGTCTACTGATTAAAATATGTCTGCAGATTAGCCCTGATCATGTGAAAGTTGTTAAGATGTAGTAAAATAAAAATTGAGTCATAGTCAGGTGCACCATCCTTATCTAGAAGTTCAAAAAGTCACTCGGATACAATTACCCTGCACCTCAGTTAGGAATTATGATACAAGTGATAATGGAAATTATATCAAATACACAATTAAATAACAATGGGTCTACAAACAATACATTCATAAGAATCTTTATTGAGATTTACAGGATTTCCCAAAATCCAGATGTCTATGGTTTGTTTGATTCTGTCATGTTCACTTTAACATGAAATGTAGACTAAATTAAAGATCTAGTTGTAGTTGATGTCTGGTGATTGTGGAGGCATAGCCATGCAGTTTTTCCAGATAAACCTTGACACGATACTAGGTGTCCTGTTGGAAATCAATACACCTATTTCTCTATACAAATTTAAGCCCATACAGATGAAATGTGTACAGACAGATGACATATCATCACATTTGAATCATCATTTAAATGTGAATTGTAAAGTTCAAATTACAATTTTTGGTGTTTTTTTTTTAAAAATATACTTTTGTGCTTTTCTCTCACCATATGTTATCGTATGTCTGGTCTTCAGGTGATTTTCATTCTGTAGGTTTGTGCTTTACATGAAAATTACAAAAAGATCTCCACTGTGTGCTGCTGCCTGTAAAAAGAGTTTTTGGCACCGATCTTGATTTACAGTAATGATGGAGAGATTTGCGTCAGAGCAGAGTTAAAACTCCACATCAGGTAAAAGGAAAAGGGTACGTGAGATAGATGAACCTGCATCACATGAACGTTCAGAGGTTGGGTCTTTTCCAATGGAAATAACTGCCAACGCAGATAATGATCATAAAATCTGTGTGCTCAGTCAGGTGCTTTGTCTTTATCCGATGACTAACAGCATGTTATCAACAACACATACATAATCTATGGCTGTGGTTGTGGCTGTGGTTGTTGGTCCACTACTTTGTTCAAGACTAAAATATCTCTACAACCATTGGACGGTTTGCCATTACATTTTCTACAGACCTTCATGGTGGTCAAAGGGTGAATCTGACTGACTTTGGTGCACCCCCTAACATTTACCCTAGCGCCCCCATGAGGTTGACATTTGAAGTTTTCATTAACTGTAATCAGCAAATATTAATTGAGGTTGTTTGCCATGAAATTGGAAGCAGACATTTCCCTACAAATATTTTAATTACCGAGGATCCCCCGTCTTGACATTTCGTTTGTCCAATATTTCAGTTTGCTTTGTTAATGACCAAATACAAGCAAAACGTAATGACATTCCCCTCAGCCGTACTTTGTGTTCAGTGCTAATTAGCAAACGTTAAACAAATATGGTTAAAACGGTGTCACGGCACAGGAACTACTAAAATAACTCGTTTTGGATCAACAGACGCTTAATGCTTTGCTTGTCGGCACAATAAACGGTGCAGGCCTTACCGGGAAACCAGGTTGGCACGGCTGATGTTGGCTTTCTGCCGTTGCGTAACTCGCAGCGAGTCTCCAGTCCTCTCGTGATAACCACTGTGCGATGAGCTCCGTTTGTTTCCGTTCGTTTAATTGAACGAATAAAAGCATACAGACACTACACTGAAATACTCCGTGGATGAGAGTTACCAGTCACTGTTTTAAGAATTGTGTGCAGGTCTCAAGCTGCGTCAGCTTTGAGAAATAACCTGAACATTAAATAACATATAAGAAAAACAAAAATGCCACAAGACTTACTGCATATTCTTTTTATTTTTCAATATGCCTATTAAATTATCATCTGTTTTTATCCTTGGAATTCCCTTGACATCTCGAGGTTGTCTGAGCAAGGAATACTTCAAATATTTCAGTGCAAAACAGCTAAAGCCAAGTTAATTAAAATAAAACACCCCCCCTCCCACACCCCAAAATTAAAAAAATCATTCGTAAAAAGCCAGTAGTTAACATATATAAATAAAACTGAATGAATTTTAAGAGAATAAACCCTTTCCGTTTAGGTTCCCTTGTTTTGCAGCAAAGCATCAACTTACAAATTTCCACCTCATATACATATATGAACATTGTGTATATTATCATATACTCTTGTTACAATCTACGGGAGGTCCATGTTAATCAAGTGTTAATAGTTACATGAGGTGAATTTCTGCCCATTTGAAGTGAAGGAGTCCTCAGGGTTTCTGCGTATTATCCAACAATAATTTGATGGCTACACGTAGGTTTTCATCACTGCTCAGTCTCAGATACACCGTCATACACACCTCATTGTCCACCATACGCAGGAACCTTGAGTACCGCATGTGTGACCTCGTGCAAGCAGAGGCGAGCACACGCTCTTCTACTAAAGTAGTGTCAGTCAAATGAGGGTTCTCTTCTCCACAGTCGCCGTATACCGTGAGTGGATCAAACACGGATTGAAAAGGCATCGTCTTCACCTGGCATCATCTCAAACACGCAGACACATCCATTCAAACAGATCATCTCATTCATCCCGAATTTTCATTACAAATGTTCTCCATCCTCCGTTTAGTTTAGTCTACCCACAATGCATTAAGCTCCCTGTACTCTATTCTGTGTGAATTTTAAATAAATTAACTTAAAACTTAACTCACTGGTCCATCTCTTTTCATCCATCCACACACACCTTTATGTCCTTCCTCTATTATTCTTTCAACTGATTTGAATTGATCCTCGTCCTGCTCCGTTCATTCCACATGAAGTCTACTTTGATGTCGACATGAACGTATACTACACCCACAGCTTCCCCTCCTTGACATCCAATGCTAAATGTACCCAACTCTTTCTAACTTCAGCTCTATTGTATGTATATCTTGCTTTTCTTTTCCGTGTCCTTATATTACTTCAACAAATCACAGCAAACAGTCATCCGAACACACAGCAAAATATACAAACTCATCTGAACAAGCGACCACAAGAAATGAAAGGACCTCGTAATACGTTAAATCGTCAATAACGGAGTGCAATGAAGATGTACGTGAAGACTCAGAGACACAGACGGGGTCTTTATGGCCATTTGAAACTGAGGAACGGGATTGAATTGGAAGTTTTAAGTGTCCCTGTTTTGTTGTGTTGGTTACTGTGGGAGTCCCTGGTTTTGGCAGGTTTGGGAGTTGGCAGGCAGGGATTCTGGTTATGGGTTTGGTGTGGGGAAGACTTTTTCAAGGCCGTACATATTCATTTTTGATGGTGGGGTCAAAATGTGAAGAGCAAGGAGGAAGCCACTCGATGTAACGAAGGTTCAATAAGTTAATGCATTAACGATTTCCTGCAGAAAAACAAAAAACGGTATCTCAGAGTTTCAGAAGTCGCAGGAGCTGAGCGTGTGGTGTCCAAGTCTCTAGCCTTGGCGGTTTATGGACCCGTAATTTGGCCCTCGGTCTTGTTTTGACTCCCTCTAGTCCTCCATGGCCCTCTGTCAGCAGTCAGAGACTTCGGAGGTGTTGGAGTCACTGGCGAGTTTCCTGCGTTGTCTCACTGATTTCTCCTCATCCTGCAGAGAGAGGAGGGTTGTTTTTGACCCGTTTAGTACAGCGGAAATCTGAAGGTTCCTCTTGTGTCACCCCTCAAGTGCCAAAATGTCATCTCTGCACTTATAGATGAATAAAACCTTTTGATTATCATAGCTGCTTTTCCTCTAGTACAACCATTGGGAGCAGTTTTAGACCTGTAGCCCTGCTACTGGTCATAAACACCTGCACATTTCTCTCCTTTTCAATTCCTCTTTTATTCTACATGGACATGATAATGTTTCGACAACAAATGAGGTGTCCATGTAGAATAAAAGAGGAATTGTGGATGAGATACCAGTGTGCATGAATTTTGGGAAAGTTGGGCTACACCAATCGGACTTCTTCTCTCTCAATTCCGATACCTCAACTCAGGATATATGCCAATACCAATGTCTTACAAACCCGATACCAGCGCTGTCTTTTCCCCAAATAACCCTCCCTGGATGAACTCATTGAAACAAGAGGCCAGAAATGGCTGTGGCAATAACAACGACTGCTTAGCCAGCCGTGACTGAATGAATGGCCGATATTTGTCTTGGCAAATGCAGACATTTGCTAACGGCAGTTGCCGATATTCATCTATTGTGTCGCAACAGGCTAAATGTCGTGTTGGTCATTTGAGGTCAGCAGCTAGCATTCCCAGCGGCTGATTCGGAGAAGTCAAGACACCAGCGTGACATAAGAGGGCGATGGGCTCCGTGGGCTCGTGTGGTTTGTGTCGATGTTTGTTTTCAGAGAGCGGTTGTTCAGCTTTGCGTCTCACATCTTGAATGAGAAGAAAAATAGTCTGCAACAAGGCAGAGATACTTATCTCTTTGTGATTGAACTGCTAACCTTGTGATTAAAAGGACATCCAACTCTATCTCGTGAGCCACAGCCACCCGTGAATAAAGGTTATGTCAAAGGTTGCTTCATAAATTTGTATGATTGGATCTGCGTGCATTCTAAGTGTCACGAAATGCTGACAGTTCAGTTTGTCTTTTTTTATAATGAAGGTTTCTTTTTTCCTCTGGCACAAAAGGGGGATAACCAACAACAAACTAAATTTAAAAAACAACAACAAAGAAACATTGGCATTAGCTATTGGCCAAATTCTTATTTTAAACATCTGGATCGGTGCATCCCTAAAATGTTACAATGGCATTGAAGAATAAATGTATTTAATATGGATCGGTCACGTCATGTTTTCGTGCGTGCTTACAGTCTGAAAGACTCCATTCTGGCCCCACTCTCCAGGCGAGTGGTCCTCAAGGTCCTCTTCCTCTTCTTCCTCCCCCTCCTCCTCCTCCTCTCTCACCGTGTCCATCCCGTCTTCCTCATACTCCGTCAGACAGTCCGACTCCTCCGCTGAATGGAAAGATTTAGAGGCCATATTACGGAGAGAATTTATTGTGCGACTGAGCCACCTGGTTTAGATAGCAGCCATAAAATATCAGGGACATCTCCCACTGTATTTCATTAAAACAGAGCAGGTGAAAGCTATGACCCCTTAAAACAGACAGGATCCCGAGGGGGAAACTGTGCATCTGTAGGAGGAGACTGATCTAACAAGGACTTTTAATATACTTTAGCCTCTATAAAAGGAATTGTTTCGAGATAAGAATAATGAATTGGCAAGTGATCGTTTACCTTCTGCAGCTACGTAGCTTTGAACGGGCTCTATCCTGGATACGATCTCTGCAAGGTCAGTGAAGTCCGCTCCTGGACACGTGCAGGACTACGAGACCAGAAATCATTATATATACGGACATAAAATGTTGACGGTGAACATGTATTTAGCTATACATCAACCATATTACATATCGTGTGTGGTACGACTGCTGTTCTTACGTCAGTTCTCTTGCTGTCGTTATAGTCGGCCGAGCGGTGGTCCTTCAGCATGTTCTCGATGATGTCGCCTCGGGCCCAGCCAGTAAACAGCAGCTTGCCGTGCTGGTAGCCCACGTCCTGAAGTAGTTTAAACAGAAATACAAGGTACTTTTAATTAAGCAAGGACAGGTTATCCCCAAATAAATCAAAAACAACAATATTCATTAAGTAACTCACGTAGATCTCGTCAAACTTGCCGAAGTCCATGGTCTTGAAGCGGTCGATGGGCGGTCTGATGTACTCGCAGTAGGCGCTCTTCTTCACCACCTCCAACTGCCGCACACAAGACACGTAGGCCAACCGAGACTGGATCTCTGCCATGTCTGGCACCTGCAGCAGAGGATGGTGGAAGAACCAGAATTCACCACAAACACCAACAGAAACACTTCTTAATCTTAATGTACTGCTCTGTATTTAAGCTGCTGAGTCGGCCACGGTTAGCAGTACTCTACCTTTACTTTCTCGGCCCAAGGATTGATCCGTTTCCACAGCAGCCACCAGCCCGACAGGCTGTCGCCATAATTACAGAGGTCGGTCTCGTCTTGGCTGCCCACGTCGATGGCGATGACTGTTCTGGCCCCCATGTTCCTCGCGATGTCCGCTGTTTGACGTGTAGCGTGCGCACACACACCGGCATTCACACACAGACGCACGAACGCAGGACGACAAAATCCAGCAGCAGAGATGGTGAGACAGCGGACAATAACTTTAAACCTTCATTTTTAGGAGCCACAATGTTCAGACAGGCTAACGCCACAAAAATGTCAGTTTTTTTTAAAGTTGTCAGACACTCTCACAGGATTTATGGCCAATTAGTGACAGAAAACAAAGCAAACTTTACTGGCCAACCAGCACAGAGCCAGAAACTTTCGCGTTGACTTGCTAGTGTCAAAAAGAAGCCTCAGGGCAGTGAGCACTGTTGTGGTGTTGAGACTTTTTAAAAAAAAGACAGGAAAGCAGAAAACATCTCACAAAGCCCAACACACTGATCCAGAGTGCCAAGAAAGAAGGCAGAGAAACAATCAGTGAGAAAAGAAGCACCCTGATTTTACAAGGCACCCTTTAGTCGGATTAATCGTTGGGCCCAGAAAGCACCACACATCACAAACCTCGAGATTGAGCATCGCTCGAGACATAAGACATTATTCTCACACCAAGTAGGGAAATGCAATGGCTCAGTCCAGAGCTTTGTGACAAGTGGCCGTGTTTCATCAGCACAGAGTACATTCTTTATCATTACCACACAGAGACTCGGGGGGGGGGGGGGGG